AGGAAGTGCACTGCTCCAGATATGCTTAATTATATTAATTAGTACATCAATTTTTTTTTTAAATATTTAAAACAATCCAAGAATCTATCCCAACCATTAATGATTATAAAATAAAAATTAATATCGGTTATATTAATACATACTAATATTCATCTTTGGGTATCAGCCATATTGATATTTTAATCCTTACTAAAAAAACTCTTTATAAATTAATTTAGTTCAAAAGTAATACAATTTTAGCAGGAAGTAATAGTGGAATCCATATAACCAAGATGAGAGAGCACACTCCTTGCCGCTTCATGTAGGACCATACAAGTTAATGTGCAGTAATTAATAATATAATTTGTACCAAGGAAATTATAATGTAGGATCCATTGAAACAAGATGAAACTCCTTTGGGAATATATTTCAGCCTTCACCCTTTCTTTTCGTTTTACTATAAGGCTGGGCTTGGCTCAACAGAAAATAAGAGAGAAATAGAAAATTAAGGGAGGGAAAGTTCTCATTAATACAGCTTATATCTTCTTCTGGTTACTTGTGGGTAATGGTACTCAGTTTAAGTCATCCATGTGGCTCATTATCTTCTTCTTAGCAAACAAGCTACTTGATACATTTGGAATGAGCATGAGAAGAAAATTCTTCTATTGTTTCTTTTTTTGTCATACAAGAAGATGATTTAAATTCTGGTCAAATAAAGACATTTTTTAATAGGATATGCTTTATTTAGTTAGATTTGCAACAGATAAATAATGATCATTATTATTTCTTCTTTATTATAAAAATTTGTATTCTATTTCCTTCCAGTGATTAATACCAAATAATGAGATTGCGGAGAAAACTAGAAGAAAGGACAATTAACTATCACCTATACTATTATAAAACACTTATTTGCCTTGGTTTTGGATTATCTTTTTGAAGTCAATTAATTTTGAAACAGTTAGGTGCTATTTGACAAGTCTTTTTAGAAAGATCTTCTAGTATCCCAGACGGCCAAAAGAAATATTAAGCTTTGAGGGTATTGTCTTTAAAGGCAAAAATCGTTTGGTGAGCAGTTCGGTCTACTGGGCTTTTAAAAACACATTTAGAGGCTTATATCATGCAGAAAGACCATAAAGCTTCCAAAATTTGGTGTTTTCAGTATTTTTGAATCTTTCTATGCACACGTCTTCTCATCTTTTTAGCTTTTGGTTACCAAATGGATGAAGACCAATTTTTGGTTTTTGGAGCTTGCCAAAGCCCAAAAGACCACATGAAAAGACTTGCCGAACACCATCTTAGTAAAGTGCTGCCTTGGTCATCTCTATGATAATATTATAACCCATTGGTTCTATTTATCAACCAAGTTGGTTTCTAGAAGTTGAAAACCTTAAAAGTTAGCAGAAACCATCTCAAGAAAATTAGTATACAAGGTTTGAAGATAATCAAGGCCTGTTTGGCAAGTCTTTTTGATAAGATCTTCTCGTAGCTCTGATAGTCAATAAACGTATTGAGCTTTTGACATAAGATCTGGGCAGCCTAAAGACCATTTGGCAGATGCACGTCTTTCCGTGTATCATTTCGGGTCTTTCTATGTGAGATTAAAATGCGAAAGACGTGAGAAACTTCATTTGAAGGTTCCCGAAATCAACCCAAAATGGGCTTCACGCGTCTTTTCAGCACCACGTCTTTTGATGGCTAAATCTTCTGCATGCCAAACAGGAATAGACCGATTTTCAGTCTTCCCAACTTGTAAACAACTGAAAGACTGCACAAAAAGACGTGCCAAACGGCACCTTAATTTATCGAAAGCATTCAACTTAATTGCTAAATGTTATTTACATATTAAAAACACCTTAACCCACCTGATTGGTTAAGCAAATCTTTCCAATAACATAATCAAACCTGTTATAAAATGCTATAGCCATTTTTGTTTTGAGAGGAATAACAGGATGTTATATTAATCGAAAGGAGAATGTATAAAGGGAAGAGAGACAAAAAGAGCCGGCCAAAAATCGGGGCAATACACAATTTCTATACAAATCAGCTCTTTTTGAACTAGACTTCGCCAACAAATCTGCAGTAGTGTTAAAAGCTGGGAAGGTGGACCGATCTCCAATGGCCTTCTTCGTCTTGAGAGCTAAGCCACCTAATGGTACCATTGGCCAAGTCACCAAAGACACTAAAAGAATGGAGACCAAGCTGCTTAGCAATGCGAAGCCCATAGCGAGCTGCCACCACTAAAGCTTTAGTGCAATTAGTAACCAGGACCACTGAATGTGCACGACACTTCTCCACAACTTTTCCTTTTTCGATAATTTTCTTATAAAATTAAACACAACCTACTGAGGGGGTGTTCGACAAGATGGTTGGTTTTTTACCCTTTAGGTTTTTAAAACAATTTTCTTCAGGCTCCATTTGGGAAGAATGCATATGCAAATAAGTGTTTTGAATTTCTTGTTGCGACCCACTTTATAAATTTTCTCCAATTAAATTGGGAAAAGCCCGGAAGCAAAATTTCATAATGGCTGTGGTGGAAGCATAGACTTTGGTCCGCTCTACGGTGGTACAAACCTGATCCATATTCAATTTATGGGTCCGAATTGAATACGAAGAGTTATGTATTTCGGGGGTTTTCTTTTTCATATACTTGGTCTTTATCTTGTGAGAGAAGAATGAGACTTTGAATGTATTTGGGGTTTAGGGTTTTTTGTGAATAAGGTTGTGAGTGCACAATTCTGTATTCCTCTCCATTACAGATTACATCGTAAATTTCTTCTCCTCTTCCGCTCGTGGACGTTAGTTATAAGATGAACCACGTAAATTTGTGTGTCCTCTTTGCTTGCTTCTCTTTATCTTTTCTTTTTTTCCATTTTTGGGTGCCATTCAAATCTGTATTTCCAGGTTTACACAATAAGATACAAGGTTTAGAAATGTGGTGAACATATTTGTATTGACACTCTTCCCAAATTGAACCTACTCACTTAATTTGGGAAGAGTACAAATACAAATGTGTGGTGCAAAATCTTGTATTTTGTATTCCTAAACTATACATATTTGTATTTGCACTCTTCCCAAACTTGAATCTTATATGTACATTGACACAAGGGCATAAAAATTCATGAGAGCTAGACCTATTCATGGGCCAGATCAGGCTGGGTTCAGGCCGAGCTTTGCCTCTTTATCAATAGAAAATGTTCAGGCTCGAGCCCGAGCCTCACCCAACTTTTGGGCCAGGCTGGGTTCAAGCCGGACTTTGCCTCTTTATCAACAGAAAATGTCCAAGTTCGAGCCCGAGCCCCACCCCCACCCGACCTTTGGGCCTAAATCTTGAACCCAAGCCTGAGCCCAAAGCCCGATCTGCACATAAAATGTCCTATTTTTGGTGTAATTTAATAAATTAATTCATATTTCCTGAATAGTAAATTAATATTTGATATTAACTTTATAAATAAATACATATTATATATACTTATTATATATAAATAATGTATATTTCTATTATATGTAATAGTATCAGACCGGGTTTAGGCCCGGACTGGGCTTATTTGAAAAAACCCGAACCTAACCCAAAAAATAATTGAGCCCAGTATTTAAATGTAAAGCCCGACCCTGAGCTTGCGGACCTGAAATTTTGTCCAAGTCTGATAAGAGCATGCAATTATTCCTTTAATCTTCTGTTTTGGAAGATGACAGTGGCTAAAATATTTCATATGAAAACCAACTTGTTTCTTTTCAAAAAAAAAAAAAAAGTAGTTACGCAATAAATTGAAATATAAATTTGAAAGAAATAAGTCGAACAGATTCTATTATCATTAATAGCTAAGTAAATCCAATAATCAACCATATTTTTTCTTTCGTATAAGGCGGACACCTAGTATCAGACCAGGTGATCCAGACTACACCCTACAAACCAAACCCAGTAGTACTGACAGAGCCAGGCCACTCCGAGCAACCATATTAAAAGTTCAAACAAGAAATACAAGTACTCATGATAATGATCCAAAAAAAGCTTTATATATATATATATATATATTCTACTCTTCATAATGAATTTCGTCTTTATGTGATTTATTTTTGTCATGGAACTATCTTTAAATTTTCCATGATCATTTAATTGCCAACTAAAGAGTTTCAATCATAAACTCAAACAGTGTTTCCTCAAATATTTATCAAAATCCAAAATCTGATTCTGGACCAAAGGGATCAAATGGATGCTAGAAATATGGGATGCCTTATAGTAAATTGTTTCATAATTCTAATTGCATGAACCATGGATAAGTGGACAACCTAAGTTTACTTACAATTTTCTTTTTGATATTATAATTCTGGAACCAACCACAGTTTTAATACTGAAAACTTTTTCTTGTTTTGGTAAAAAAACGAATATATAGCATAAATCACCAATATAAGAGCTATTACAGCGAGAGTAACCGACAAAAGGATATTTTTTTTTATTATTGTTATTCTTTTATAAGCTAGATAAACGCAAAAGGCAATAATATATGAGATCAAATTTTCTGGCACTCTAGGGCTTTGCGTCATAAAAATTTCCCTAAAATTTGCGTTGGTTTTACAGATAAAGTTGAAATAAAACTTCAGTTCTCTATTAAACTTAAACAGACAATTTTTGGGCTGTATTCATCAGATTACTTGCTATATACTGCATTCGATCATTCTACTGCATTTTTACGCTTTTCTTTTTTTATTTCTTTTAACCGGAAATGTTCATCACATCTATCAGGCCTTGATGCACTATATTTGTAGCCTTCAACTGTTATTTAGCCCCTTAGGCTTAGTTTGGATAGTATATATTTGTATTTGCATAGTATATATTTGTATTTATATTCCTTCCAATCTGAGTCTTGGGAGGCATTCTATGTTTACTTTCAGCTCTTTCCAAATTGATAAAGAAGTGCCAACATGATGCATCCTTCTAACCAACAGAAACAATTTCAAAGAAGCCATCATATGGATCGAGTATTAATTTGGTGAAGTTCTGATAGTTACCATTACCAATAACAATAACATGAATATGAAAACTTTATAAAGATGATACACTTGAACTTAGTAACCACATATGGCATAAGTTCCAAGGTGTTGAACAAGGATAGAATAAAGAGGGACATAGTATCTTACATAACAAGGAAAACCAGAATACATAGAAGAGAGGTTGCCAGCAATATCCGAACTCCAAACCAAAGGATAAAGTTTTTTCCAGGCAAAAGTGAGACACTAAGACCTTCATTTTCAGATGGAATTATGAGGAAATTAAAGTTGTTAGACTTCACATTCTTGACTTCATAAGCCTTCTTCAACCGTTGACACCAACAGTCATTAACCACAGTCCCCCTAAAGAAGAAGAAGAGAGAGAGAGAGAGAAAAGGAGGAATGCAAAGAAAACCTAATAATTCCACTAGCTATTTAGTAAGGGGAAACGCCCACATTGGCGGAAGCGAAAATCCCATCCTTCATGAGAACTTCTTCTCCTTCCTTCACATGAAAAGAAAAATAAAAGAACACAAAAACATTAAAACCCGTGAATATATGTGTGAACCTGCAAAGAAAGGAGAGAGAGCGATGGATGCAAAGAAAGGGTACCTGCTGGCGCACATTACTTTTCTTCACGGTCTGGTCAGGCATGAGACCAAAGTGGATGTGTGGGAAGTGGGCCCACTGAGAAAAAAAAAAACACACACACAAACAGGAGGACCCACAAATCAAGAAACCATAAACAAATAAATACGCTTTGAAACCCTAGTTTGAGAAGTAAATAAAATGTGAAAATGAGAATGCAAAGAAAACCCTAGAATTTTCTTGGATCTTACGTTCTTTGCAGCGGCGCTGAAAGCCTCTCTATGGGTTATATCGGGATTTCCGGCTTTGATGCGTTGGATCTCGTCCCTGCAGCAAATGTAGATGTCAAGATCATATATCTGCTTCAAAGTTTCAGATTCTACTGTCTCTAGTAACAGTAACAATATTAAAAAGTAAAAAAAAAATGAAATAACAAAAAAGAAACCTTTTTAAACACTTCTCATTATTACTCACTTGATGAATCGGTTGTACGCGGACGGGACTCTCTGTCTCTTCTCCGGAGCTGGACAGACAGACACATTAAAAACACTTCGCTGACTTTTGTGAAATTCTGCTTTTCTTATCTCCCTATCATCACTTCATCATCACTACTATCTGGTTTATCTATTCATCCATCTATCTACCTAAGTAGTCTATAATATTTCTCACACCCAGATCACACATCATACCACATCACAAAAACATGGATATATAGAACTTGAGTGCAATACAATAATGGAACTGGTTGTGAAGAACATGCAAATAGAACTGCAAGCAAGAAGAGAAACAAAATCCACTTTGTCTAGTTGATAAGACTAGAAGTTTTCCGACTATCTTCTACAACATTTCATGGTTTTCTAGAGGATCTTGCCTACAGCGACACCTGCAGATCATGGTGTTCAAACATCTGGATGGCACTATAAAAATTCTTATTTCTTTTGACGATTTCAGATGTTACTAAACTTTGGCGAAATGTAGATCTAATGAATTTAAGATAAGTAGACATGAGAATTATAGGTTTTAAACCCGCAAACGGTGCACGGGAAGAAATGATTTTTATAACAGTCACTACTAAAGAGGATCTTTAGTACTAAATAAGGGCTGAGATTGCAGGAAAATTAAAGGTTCTATTAATGCATTAACGGCTCTTTCTCCCCTTCACCAAACTATGAAATTTTATCAAGGTGCAGCAAGCCTAGGAGCATATTGTCTAGTTTTCCAACTCTTCTTTTCTTGATTGATTAAGATAATACTATCCTCAAAAGTATGGGGTGCAAGTGTTTTATATATATATATATATATTTTGTTTTTCAATAAGTAAAGTTCTAATATATAACTTTGTCACCGGAAAAAAATGGAATGGAGAAAGAAAGAGAGCATTCTGATAGACCAAAGGAGTTGACAGATAAGAGACTCCTTGTAGAAAATGCAAGGCATCCAAGATAGATAGATAGAGAGAGAGAGAGAGAGAAGATGCAAAGAATCTCACGTCTGTTAACAGCTGGGGGTCTTGGGAGCTCATCCGATCCTCCTCGGACTGAAACAATTGAGTCATTTGGGTTAGGCTGATCGATCAATAAATTGGGTTGTGGGCTCGGGATTTCTTCCTGAAACACAGCCACGAACCAAGAATAACAAATAAATTCATAAAAAAGCTGAACAATAAAGGGAAAAAAGAACCATGATTCTTTATCTTGTGTTTACCAGAAAATTGTGGGAGGGAGAGAAGAAGGTATTGCCAAGGTGAAGTTGATTAGCTGCAGGTAGAAGCAGCCCACGCATGTTGACAGAAAGGAGATTGGTGCAGTGCCCACATCGAACTGTGACGGTCTTGAACAAACTGCTGCAAGGAACGCTCACCTACCATCCATGAAACAAATAAGCAGTTGGATGTGAGAGAAAGATAAGAAAAAAGCAACAATCCTAGAGAACCCTAATTGGGATAAATTGTGCAAGTGGGGGTGTTAAAAGATAAACAGATGGGTGGAAGGTGTAAACCATGGTGCCACGAGTCAGAGAAGAGATAGACAATTTGATACCGCGAGGACAGTGTCGCAAAAGTTGCAGTGGACGTAACAGAGCTGCTCGGAGGGAGAGAGGTGGTCCAGTGAAAAAGCAGAGGAGGAGGACATCTTTGATTCCCTGATTTGATTGGATTATGGGATTGAGTGGCTTTGATTGATTGACTGATTGATAGATTGACAGATTAACCAACTTGGATATGCTGTTTTTGATTAGCAATTATGAAAGAGGAGCAAAGAAAGAAAGGAAGAAAGGAAGGAAGAAGAAAGAAGAAGAGAAAGAAACAAAGAAAGAAAGAGAAGGGATATAGATCTACTTATAGGGTAGTAGATATAAAGAACCCGGAGGAAAGACTTCTCTTTCCCTCTGCTTCGCTTCGGTGGTGCCTCTGGGCTCTTGGCTCTTGCTTTGTTGTGGTTGTAGTTTAATATATTTTTATAGCCTGTACATGTATGTATTGTAGAAATGTATTGATAGGGGTAGGACTAGGGAGAGCTAGCTAGCTAGGTCTAACATACGCCTGAGGTTAAACTGTAAGGAAATGTGTGGTTGGCATTCCCGATGAGAGAGAGAGAGAGAGAGAGAGGGGCAGCACCGTAGCAGAGGCGGCAGAGGTGGGGGAGAGGAGCGAGAAAGGGACGTTTGCATGGGGTGATTAGCTTTCGCTCATTCACCTGTTGTTTTCGTAGTTAAGAGGGTGAATTGCAAAGCCTTTCTCGCTTTCCGAATCGATGCCTCCCTCTTGTAACTCGCGGGCAATAAGCTAAAAATCTTTCCGCCTCCGCCTCCTTAGGGGAATTCACCACCCATTTTATTATTAATTTATTCTGAATGAATAGGAGAAAAACAAAGCTTTGCTTGTACCGATTTGACTACACAATCACACTTCTCTCTCTCTCTCTCTGAGACACACATACACATACGTATTCAAGTCAGTAAGCAGGAACAGTAGACAGAGATCCTCTCCTCTCTTTTTTCCCCCCTTACCACCTTTGTCCTTTCCTAAATTTCTATTTCTTTTTGGCCTGTGTTTGCTTATTTAGTTAAAGCCTTACCCCCATTGCATACTCTCCGGTTCCCTCCACACATTTCTAGGGTTTCTTTGTTCTGCTACAAATGTTGCAAAGGAACCACAACTTTGGTGAAAAAGATGAGCTGCCATCCCTCTTACAGTTTGAAACACAATCACCATCCATCCACATTTAACGAAAGGTTTCCCTCTTCCCCAAAATTTCCCGAAAAGTAAATGTTCACTCACTCACAAGTCACAAGTCACAACTCGTATAAGTGAGAGTGCTTTCCGGGCTGCCTCTTGTGCAACTTCAAATGTCATTGTAATAAGGGAATAGTTGTAGTGTGTCCAACGTTTTGTTGGGCTTTAAGGATGATGAATGTGGTCTTGCATACTCAGAAATCTGATTGACGTATGTTTGTGGTGAGATAAGGAGATAAGACCAGTGGTCCAACATTACTATTAAATTATCCATCCACACCACCCTGAAATTGAATGACTTAGATATATATATGGCCATCATCTAATAGATCTCATCCAGTTACAGAGAACATCAGGATTGAACTTTGGGTCTCTTCTTTCTTTTCTCTTTTCCATCCCCACCCCCTCCTTTTTTCTGGGGTTCTTCTTCTTCTTTAAGCAGGTAATCAGCTGGCCTGGGAGTGGAGATCTAAGGAAGAAGACATTGGATTATTCAATGACTATTAGTTAGCCTGCTGCTGGTATAGACAAAAATCAACAGTTGAGACTTGAGAGTAATCAATGATGGATAATGAACCAGCTAATGATGCCTAACTTTTAGATCTCCGTGGTGGAAGTTTTTAGGTACTGGGTAGACAGATCAATAACCTATTTGCTCTGACTGTACAAGCATCACCTGAGAAGCTTTTCACAATATGACCCATCTGGACAAGTGTACTGCCTGGATGGACAAACACCTTAGTTAATGCAAACCTTTAACTTCCTATTACACTTAACAACAAGTTTGCCCTTGACAAAATGAACTCGAACAAAATTGTATATGGACTACGTCCTAATACTTACACACGCCATGGATATTATTGAAAGCCAATGCTCGGACCTACCCCATGCATCGGTGGATCATTGTGTCCAGCAAACTAACGCTATCTTCCTCACCAGCAGTCTAATTAACCGGTAGAATGTCAATAGCAATCCGTCCTTGAGACTTTTTCTTTTCCTTCCTGGGGCCTGGGGGGACCATCTTTGATATATATATTTTGTTAAACGAATTCAATAAAATAAATCCTTATGGCTCCAACGAATACTAGATCATCATCAAGTAAGTGTGAGCGGATCAGACTCCTTAATTTGGATGATTGATGTATAACAAAGCCACGTTGCCTATGAATGCCTGATCTGAAAGGATCTGATTAAAGTTGGCATGATAAAATGGGACACCTGGCTACATAGTCCACCGTCAAAAGGAGGCTTGGCTGGTTATGCACTTGGGTCCCAAGTCCCAAGTCCCCAAGTATGAAAAGGGTAAACCCGTACAAGGGGCCTAGTTGCCTGAGACCTTAAACATGGCAAGTTTCTTTAGGTGGATTAACCCAATGGCCCAAGTGGTGGCAACTGTTATGACCGCTCAGCCTATAGTGAAGATCGAAATGGGTTTAAACCGATATATAAGTACCTGATGATCACACAGTGTGGCAAAAAACAATTGGGTGATAAGGTCATAAGAGACGACAAGACCCCACTAGGGCAAGAGAAACAGTAAAGATGGCTACCTAAAACTACAACATGGAGTAGCTTTGGGTATTGTTGATAGTAGTTGCATCTCATGAGTATCTCATGATATATCCTGCGAATAACAACAAAATGACAGCCAGATCTTGAGGTTTGTCCTCTATCTTGTCTCTCCCATCCCATGTAAGTGTCGTTCATGGTCGTAGTGTGGAACTATGGATGCATGCATGACCACATGCATGCATCCATGTACGATTGGATGAAAGCTAGCTTTCTCTGCAAAAGCCCTGTGAGAAGGTATTGTTGCTGTTGGCTAGGATACGGGGATCTCTCTCTCTCTCTCTCACGGTGAGCTTCGCTTACTGCTTAGACCTTAGAGTGTGTGTGTGGATGCGAGGAGAGGCGTGGTGGGGTAGAAATCGATAAAGGTGATGAAATTTAATGCGCTGTGCGGTTTCTGATATGTTGGACGCTCGACCTGACTGTGGTCGAGCCTGTGATATACGTACGTACGTCCATTTGGGGGGAGGGATAGCTAGATACCCCCCACATGTTGTAGCCTCGGGGTATGTTCAATGTCGCAATTGCATGGACATTTGAGATTTTATCTTGTTTTAAACAACGACATGGACAGAACCCACAAAAAGGATGACATACAAGAACAAGAACAACATGGCCCGAGAGAGGAGAGACCAAGACAGCAGCTGCTGCCTAAGTTTAATCAATCAATCTATCTACTACTTTCTTCCCCTTCTTCACCCTTCAGTTCAAACTTCAAACCCCCCCTCAAGTCAACTCGGGATAAGACAAAGGCCAAACTCGGCTGACTCGGTTTTAGGCTCTGTTTGGCTCGTTCATCACACCCCTTTTTTGGCGGGTTGGGCTTGGGATGGTTCCTGTTCACCAGTACTACGGTTATTGTCTTTTTTTTTTTTAATTTCGTACGGTTGTACTTTATATATATATATATATAAAAAAAAACTTTGATCCTGTCTGGGAACAGCGCTTAATTGGCCCCTGAATGTATTATTATATTAACTTCCTAACAAGTGCAAGTTAACTGCTAGTGTAGTATAACTATAAAGACTGCTTAATATTATTATAATAATAATAATGTTGGACCCCCTTGGAGTGGGACATATAGGTCAAATGTTGTCTGAGTTTTCTTGAAAAGATTTCATGACTAGTTAATTCAATTGCATTAATTCAAGTAGCCTGCTCTGAGATTGGTTAAGTATATATGCTTTTGATAGAATATTATTTATTTAGGTAGCCTTTGGGATTCCTTAGACTATTATATACTTGTTGCAAAAGCAGCTTTCTTGAGAGTGCTTTTGTTTTTCGAAATTTTCTTTTGCTTAAGTAATGCCACTTTAATTTAGGACATCTTTTTTTCAAAGCTTTTAGGGTTAATTTTGTCATTTCAAAATAAGTGATGAAAGAGTAGAATTGGTACTTCCGTCATTTAAAGAGAATCATATATAGAGAGAGGTAGTTGAAATGAAAATAGCCAAGCATTTGCCTTTTTTTATATTAGAATCTTAAGTGCTAGCTATTTCAATTTTTCTTCTAGATGGGTAGATGCTAATTAATATTTGTTACCAAACATCCTATTTCAAAAGTAGGAAAAAATCAGACAGACTATTGGTCCTTCCTTTTGTATTTGCTTAAATGCTAATTAAAAGAGATTAGTCTGAATTACATAGGAAGTAAGAATTTCTTACACCCACAATGAAATGATTTTATGGAATGACAAACTAATGGCCTCTCTGGCCTCTGCCAGATTAACCTGTTTTCCTTGTAGTGTTTGAAGTAGATCTGGATAGGCATATTTAATTTGGAGACAAAAAAAAAAAGGATATAGTGATATATAAAAGTGAACATCTTAAGCAATTGTTAGTTCATTCATTATCTGGATTCTAGCAATCTCTCTCTCTCTCTTTCTCTGCCCTCCAAGAGCAAGCCTATACAATTCAGTTGTCCCCATTAAATTCACTACACAACTATTTTGATGGTGTTATTACTGTGCCTTAGCTAGAAGCATTAATGCCTATCTACCACTGAAAAGGTAAAGGGCTAGAGTTGTCTTTTCCTTCCTCGTTTTATTTTCTTTTTTTTTTTTGTGTGTGTATATGTATCTAATTGTGGTACACTACGCAACTACGCAACTACTTTATATTTTAGAGACTTCGTACATAGCATTTGTTGATCCAAAGCTGTGAGTCTAACACCTTCAAAATCAATTTGTTTAGTAGAGTACTAATGTGTGTGAGGTACATAATATAGCAGCAGGAGCTTTTTTAAAGTACTAGTGAAGTGTAATAGCAGAGCTACTTGGCAAGGATGTTGTGGAGTTCTAGTCATTGATTCTGTGAGCTGCTCATATACAGTGACCAAAATAACCTTATCAGGACTAGGATTATGTATCAAATGGAATTGCTTCATATGATATCCATTTATCCGAATTCAAATTTGAATCCAATCCAATTAAGTTAAATATACATGATTCAATTTGATAATGGTTAAATATGCATGCTTATATCTAGATAAAACTCATATGGATCGGACCTGGTAGTAAAATTGGTTTTAATGTCTTATGTCTCTAACGAGTCATTGGTTCAAGCAAGATAAGTTATTTTTAAGTATTTTGCTCATTAGCATTTTGATCATTTGTATTCTAATTTGTTAATA